CGCACGCTGCACGCATCTGAATTATCGTGGCTGAACAGGCGAACGTGTTCACACTTGAGCGGTGTGATTGGTCTGCCCGACCAGTCGAACGACGACCCACTAACTGTCCTGGTTGTGACGATCGATTGATCCACCAGCCAGAACTTTCCGGTCAGGTAGCGTGACACACGCTTGAAACCCAAAGGGTCGAAGCACAGCTTGTACGCTTGGGCACCATTTCCTTTCAAGAAAACCAGGATAACTGAGCTACTGCTTGGTTGTCCACGCTTTAGACAGGGGTGGTCAAGATGTTGAAATTGTGGTCGGACCGTCTGTTAGTACGGTCTCAACTACCGAGCTATCTAGAATTCTCACTGTTGGGCTAAAAAAGATTCGTTGCCGATCAATCGAACTTGTACTTGGAAGGCGAAATTTTCGTTGGCGCGTGCGGAAATTGACTAGTCGACCGGTAGCATGAAAACGCGAAACAATTCCAACGGAAGTATAGAACAACCTAGACAACTACCTCGATCCGCCGTCCGTGTATTGTAGATGATCAACTTTGTCGTGTTAAACGCGATTCTACGCTTTAATTATGCGGAGAACCACTTCGGTTCTAAGCTACTATGGATGAAAAGTTAGTCAATGATGATGGATGATTTGAAAAACCAAGCCAGCTCTGGGCCACAACAGCGATTCTTGGATAGGTTGGGTGTCAATTTGTCCAGCCGGAAACAAGAAGTTTAGTTTGAATGAAATCGAATCGAATGTGTAGCTTGATGCAGTTGATTCCGGTAATTAGGCAATGATAGTTTTACTGTTTGATAAAATATTCCTAAGCTTTGCCCTAAGCTTTGCTTTTACAGGACCTTGATTAGTTTTTTTGTAGTCTGGAATTAATTTCCGTCGACAAGGTAGATTTCAACTTTAACAAGATCGTAAAACTCAGGCTCCAATTTGCCGAAGATTGGTGGCAACATAGCAAAACTTTTGAGCAGATATCTTCTATATAGAAAAATACTTGTGTTCTTTTTCTTGAGTACACATTTTAAGTCGCCAACCTCATAGAATAACATATACAACATATCCGTTGTTGAGACCCCTTGATCATATGTTCACTTCAGAAACACAACTTGGCCGGCGCCAAATGAAGAATTTTGACGCCAATTGAAATCGGTTAGATAAAAAAATGTTGGAACTAACTGAGTGGAAATGAATTGGACAATGGCTTAAACGCACAGTGTACACTGATGCGACAGTGTAGTAAAACTGTCAAGTGAAACATCCATACGGAAACAATGAGGAGGTGATCCAGCTCGAGTACTCTTCTGACAGGGCTATAAAAACGGGAAAATGTATGTATATATTACTAAACTTCACGGCTCCAGCTAAATCGCGTTCCAGCTTGTCAGAATTATAGGAACCGTGTGTTAATTTTCTAAGTTCTGTGACAGAGAAGTTGCCAGTAGTATATGTCGTTTTATCGCACGAATGGATCTCCGACTGTTTGCAGCTGATGCGGCTGGTATTAGCACACATTTGTCTACATATTATGTTTGACTCATGTGTAATCTGATGAAACCACCAAATGTTCGGTAAATTTCATGTATGCCTACAGTAGCCATGAGGCGTTCTTTGGGTCCAAAATGAATAACGTCTCCCAGCAAAGACTATCCATAGAGTATGGTCGACGCATCTTACTTTTATGGCGGTCTGTATTTGTTCGTTTGTCGACCGTTATAGGAAATTTTATTTGACACTACCACGAGAACCAGTTCCCAGAGTAACGGGGCTACACAACAGCCAATGACCGTTTTCGTTGAGACAGATTTCATTGGTTGTTCTTCACTCGCCCTGGACAGATGAATCATCTTCTTAGTATCACCTTTTTGACCTGCTTGTACGCGACAGTGATCAACAGATCAGCCGGTTCACATGTTTATTTATTTTTCTGTTGTTTGGCTAAACGCACCAGGCTATGAATCGACTACCCTGGCCGGGATTTACAGTAATAAGAATGCATTAAGGAGACTGTGATCCACGACAATTTGGCGACGGGGATGGTAGTTGAACCCACGCGAGGAAACCACAATAGAATGAAATGAACAAGCGTCCGTGCGACTCCATTTGGCCTCCACGGACACCACCACACTGGTACAACTATTAATATTTGATTGGTAATCCAGTACCCAAAAGACACGAACGGGATGTCGCAAACTCGGTCCGAACTAGTGCGCTCCGTCCTCGTTGTTCTCTTTCGATTGCAAGCATTTTGACATCCAGGATACCTAGAGATGCGTCAGACTTACGCGTTTAAACAAACAATCGATTTAATAACGACAAAAAACAATTTTTCGCCCGCAACACCGTATAGATGCATGATTAGCATGCCCCAAACAGAGCATTAGAGGTG